CGGAAATCATAAACTTCGATAAATACTTTGGTTTTCTTCCTAAGAGCTTTTGAAATAAAATAAATCACAGGTCTAGATATTTGTATATAACAAGATTTCGTAGGGAGCTTCATGGAATTCTTTAATGCCTAGGACACAGTCCTTGTAAACATCTGAGAAGTATTGCAGTCTCGAACAATTACAAACCTCATAAATAAGTTCTTAAAAGAAGTGAAAGGTTCAGTATCGATCCCCTTATGGCTCACAACAGCCAGATACTCTTGTAGTATAAGTATATTAAGACACAAATAAAATGATATTATCTCAAGTAAGTTGTAATAAGACATCAATGCTTTGCATTCGGAAATGTTAACTGGCTTACCATACAGCTTAAACTAGCAAGGTCCAAGTGAATTGTTAGATCTCATTGCTTTTTTTTCCTTCACTTTCTCAGTGGAACATAGGGCTTCAAGCTAGTGGCTTGAAGTTTCTGTAGCAGTGTTTAATTTTACAGGATGGGGTCGATAGCCTCATGCCCAACCTTTCTTCTATACCAGCATTATTTCTGGCTTAGCGAGGTAAAGGAGTGCGTCGGCCAGGGATCGATCCTCGGCCCATGTGCATGGTCGGGGAGCATCCTAACCGCTACGCCACCGACGCCCTGGTGGCTAGTGAAGTCTTATGTCCCCTTCGAACATAAAACGCTTTGCTAAGGACTAACACAAATAGTAGGTATATGAGCTGTTTTCCCACCTTAGTCTGTTTAAATCAATACTGATCACCTTTATTAGCTTTCCAAAGCCTTATTTAGTAAACTGATTTCATTACCTTGAAATAACAGTTGAAAAGACATAAATATTATTTCAGGTTTGATCACGGGTTGATATCAGTTGGAGAACCATTGAAAACCAGAGAGTACTGGACAACTGTTTCGTGCTATCTCGGGATTCATCGGCAGTACTCGCCCACGGGGGTTCGGTCCCAGGACCACCTGATTGCAAGGCATATTCGTAGACCGCTGAACCACCGGGACCCGATTCAATGGCCCATGGATTCCAACTTCTACCAATTCGTGATTCTAACGCGATGGCGATGAGTCGCAAACTAGAACGAAGCAGCTGTCGGGTACTCTGTGATTCTCTAACTGATGTCAACCCACGGTCAAACTTGAAACAAACTCCTGAAAACAAATATTATTATTCTTAGACTTGGACAAAACTAAACCAGTTTATTAATTATGAATTATACTAAACTGTATATACACCTCTGGTAATATTTAAGCTTCAGATTTTACAGAAAACTAGGTCTTCTGTAATTCCAACCACATCAGTTATATAACACATTTACTCCTCAATATTGTGTATAGAGAGGCGACTGTTGTACATTTTTATGAATAATATTTTATCATTAAATTTAATGATTACTTCATATTATTCAGTAATTATTTAAATTTGTTTGTTTGTTTAAGTACTTAATAAAGGCAAATAGCTCTTCTTTTGAATTCTTTGAAATTACAATCCTCCTTTTTATTTCTAGTATGTTTGCTTATTCTTTTCTCAGTCAACCTTTAATATTTGAGTGACACTGTGTAGACTAGATTAGTGAAAAGAATCACCTTATAAGTATACTTACCAATAAGTAAGAAAGACGCTTAAATATATGTGTGTATATATATGACAAAAACTACTTTAAACAGAAACTATTTCCTCCGGAATATTTCGAGATGTTTAATAATACCATGGGAAGAAAACAAGACCCTAGAGAATCTTTTTCTTACTAATTTTAATATAACAACTAGTGAAATATGCTATTGAGCATCGCAGGTAGCTAGACACCACATAGTGTTTATTATCACATTAATTCTGTCAGTCAGTCAGTTAGTGTAATTTCAATTACAAATTCCAATTTAACTCTCAAAGCTTTTATATGACATTTTAATTTACATCAAATGATGATCGCTTAACTGGTAGTATTGCTCAATTGATGAATTCACTCTAAATTAGAATAAACAATGTCTAGAAGAGTTTACTGGTCAGAATTAGGAGTTTTATGTTTACTTCAACAAAACCCTGATCATTGATAATGAACCATATTACGCAAAATACTCGATAAATTTAGATTTTGAGTATTTGTGTGCTAAATATAATAATGAATACTAAATTTAAAATTACAACCGCATAAATACTAGTTCTCAAATTGTTATATGACTGCAATGCTTCTAATCATGACTCAATACTTTTTAGAGAAACACTAGGCAAATATTTCATTGTAGTTCAGACATCGTCAGTGCTACCCCCACCTGAGGAGAACAGAACAGTGTCAACACCAATTTTCTTTCTCATGGCATTTGGTTTTTCAGTCATATCTTTAATAGCTTAGTGGTAAATGCTGCTGACTTCAGCAAATAATTCGCCTCAAGATTACAGTTACACTTTAGTGTTGAGTGTCGACAAACAGAAAACCTAAGCCAAACAGAATCTCTCGCTGATTGACTTCGAAGACAAAAAATGTACAAGTGTTTCTCTACTCATTTTTTCAAGGCTCCATTATATCCATGTGACTGGTATATTTCAATCACTATAATTTTTTTTAAAAATAATTAAGCTCGAACAGATAAATAATTTACCATCAGGTGGGTGGGTGACCGATTTTTGTACGTAGTGTTGACTGCATAAAGGAAATAAGATTTCAAAGTTTTTTTTTCATTAAACGAAATCAATTAGAAGAACACTGAACAGCGCTGTTTCGTCCTTATTTTTTGACACTTTAGTAATACACACGCATAATCGCTTCAAAGATTGAATAGAGGACTTTCGGGTTACAGTAACCATTCAGTCACATGACCGGAATCCAATAATCCATGAATTCTAATTTCTGTCAATCAGTCAAATTTCTACAATCCAACACAGGATATATAGGACTTGTAGCCTAACTAGTTATTTAGGGGGTACATTCACCTAATTCACATAAATGCATATGATTACTCGGAAGTGGCTTTAGAAGTAAAAATAAAAATTGTAAATTACATAATATTCAATAGCACAAAAGAAGAAAGAGTTAGAAATTTGATAAGGTTAAAATTGTTACTGACTGCGAAAAAAAGGTAGTTGAGTGTCCATTTAACAAGTGTGAAGACGATCAGATAATGTACAAAAGGAGCATATGAAAGTGACAATAGTGAATTAATTATTAAAGTAAAAACAAAATTAGAAATTTACAGGGAACGATTGGTGAAGAGGTGTTAAAACCATGGTAGAATAAGAGACTGGACAAACTTTTTTCTCAGTATACAGAGTTCGGTGTTGTATTGACGAATTTCCAACACCTCCGCCATACACAAATGCTGAAACTTGATGCCCTTTGTACTATTTGGCCTCACCTTTTAGATGATCTTGAAAGACGACTCTGGTGAAGCTGCGTGCCACTGAGTACTACGTAACCTTACAACTTTTATTTTTAATTCTAAATGCAGATGACTTTTTCTTTATTATAACTGTCATTCGTACAGTGAGACAGTTTTCATTAGTCCAGTTTATAATCTGTCACGTAACTGTACCATTTCAAATGATCATATTGCTTTCCGAAGAAAGCAGTATACTGCACAACACTTATCCTAACCACTTCAAATGATAAATATTTACAGTCTAAACGTTGCTTACTGTGTTATTCCACTTCATGTGCGTACCAATAGAAGAAAAACACTTATCGTAGTAAACCTGTAATCTTTTTATACATTCGTTAGTAAAATGTAATATTGTCAGCTGATATACTTTCTGATACGACCTTAGTTGTTAAGTTTGTCAATAAACTTTTTGGATTGTGTGTTGGCAATTGAAAGTAGATCATATGAGGTGCTATTCAACCTACTGTTTGATAATTTAACAAATAACATTTTACGTTAGGTCAGTTATACAATTTAATCGGCGCTGTAATTTTGACGAAACCTACAAAACATAAAAATCCACCACTAAAAAATTTATTACAATCACTAATGTCTTCACTCTTTTTTTATTTGACTGACTTTATTGTATGTCCCTGCTAATTGTAGTCTTGTAGTCCGTTGCTATGGTTGTTGAATTACATGTTTTTTAAATGATATTTTGCATTAAAAAATTTTGGGAATCATCAGCAGTACGCACTCACCACCATGGTTCAAGCCTAGGACCTTCCGGTTATAAGGCAAGCTCTTATAACATCCAGCCACAGGGGACCGATTCAATGGCCCATGATTTTTAACTTCTACGAATTCGTGATTATAGCGCGACCACCAACTAATGTCACCGGCGTAAAATCCATCCTCACATCTCGACTGGATGTACCTTTCACTGGAACTCCATCCTGTAGCAAGTCACTAGCGACCGTCAGATTAATTTTCTAAGAGTTGATTTGTAAGGATTTGATTTGTTTTTTCGAATTTAACCACGGATTAATATCAGTTAGAGAACCATTAAAAACCACGGAGTACTAGACACCTGTCTCATCAGCCTTGTTTGGGAATCATCGACAGTACGCACCCACTGGGATTCCAACGCAGGACCTTCCGAGTACAAGGTAAGCTTGTATACCATTCAGTTAAATGGATCTCCCGCAATGGCTTTTCTTAAGGGTGGCTTTATTGCATATTCCCGCTAATTGTAGCGTCGTATCCCGTTGCTATGGTGCTTTAATGACAAACTATGTCTTTTGTATCTTTTTAAAATGGAATTTCACATTAGAAAATTTCTTTCCGGCGTACATATTATCGGTGGCATTATGCTCTTGAACTGAGTTACATTTACTGTACTTGCATCAGAAAGTGTAGCTTGACACTGATATCTACTCAATGTAGTAAATTAAATGGAGGCAGTAAGTTAAGCGTATATTATTGAATTTCCCCCGAAATAATGCTGGTATATTCCGACCTATTTATTGAAACGTCCTAATACCCACTGGATAAATCAGGTGGTGCTTTTTCAAAAATGAAATATACCATATAATCACCCGTTTTATTTTTGTCTTCTCTCTTTTAAAAATTAAAACAGAATGAACAATGAGTTGAATCAAATTCAGAGAACACGTTCAGCAAAAAGTCTATCAGGAAATAATAATATTGCTGTCTTTGAACCATCAAATGATTTGTCAACTTCATCAAAAAATACTAACAATTCACAATCACATCAACAACATCAACATGACTTAAATTTACGTAAAATTACACAAGCCTATTCAATTGGTCTACGACCATTTCTACCATCATTAACAAAATCATCTACAGACATGATAACAAGTTCAAATGATCGACATAAAAAGTCAAAAAATTCACAACGTAAACGTTCACAACACAATCTTTATCCATTTTAATGTATAAATAAATCATGTACAATTTACAAAAAGAGAGAGGGAAACTATGTTTTAATGTGTGTTGGAATAGGCAACAAATTGAAGCAGGTAGTAGTGATTATGAGGTAATTTCTACCTGTTTTAAGCTAAATTCTCTTGTTTTCATATTTTATGAGTAATAAAAACAAGCAGTAACGATTATTACTATTATTATTATTGCTACATCATTCACTAATAAATATGCATCACCTAACGTCACACAATCATTCAAACAGATTAAAGTATGCACACACACACACACACATTGGACAGTGTTCAACTATCAATACAATAAAATTAAAGAAGTGGAGAAAATTAAGAAAATAAACAGATTGTACGGATTTATACTACTCAGACACTGAATGACTTCTCCATCACACTGATGTAATGAATATCTATCTTATAAATAGAGTATTCAGTCTGCATCACTTATTTGTTTTAATTTAATGAACAATTTCGCTTTCGTGTTTTTTTTTCTTCCTATATACACCCCCATTTTGAACTAATATAAAAGTACTCGAAAATTCGCTTACGCATTCACATGTGTATACAAACAGTAACTCGTATTTTACCTACATATCCTCCTATGTATGCAGACATATCTTTATTCAAGTGATAAGGGAGAACTGGCTAAATTTGTCACTGTATTAAATATAAAACGAAAAATGGTATGTTCGTTGGTAATATATAATACACATTGTATGTACTTATGCTAATAATATATAGCCTACCATAATGTTTTCCTAACTACTTTATTACTCTTTTCCCTTTTTCTTTTGATTAGTATATCTAAACAATATACTTATTGATTTGCGTCCATTGATCAATATACAGTTCCATATGTAGAAATGTTAAAGATTAACTATCTAACATTGTTTTCATCTTCCACGGTTGTTGTTTTCTTTTTTCGGTTTGATAAAATTTTGCTCAGTCAAAGAAAGGAAGATGAAATCTGTGATAATATTAAAAATACTTGAATAAAGAGTATACAATATTCTTCTTATGAATGTATATTTGTTAAATACACATTTCTGTCTTGTTAGTTTGATATGGGATGTTGCGAATCGATTGTATGGCTAATTTTGTCCATTGAGTACACGGAAGTGTAGTATAAGCGTTGAAAGAAAAAAAACTTTCGTCTTGCCTGAACACTTTTATGTTGATTTAACTATGAAGACTGAAGACAACGTACATTGTTCTATAACACAAAGAGCTAATTAATGCATTGAACTAGACACTTTACACGTATAGTCAGAAATGTGAATTCCATAAATGACCTTACATGCTTACTTAGTTATGCTGGTGAATTATGTAATATGATCACCTTATATGTCTTCATAAAAGAAATTTTTTCCGAGTAACTAAGGCTAGTTTCATCGATATGATTACACGATTACAAAATCCTGTGAATTAAGTTATAATCTATTACCACGGACGGATATAATATATAATTCAATTCATTCCTTCACCTTCCCAGTGGAACATAGGGCTTCAAGCTGCAGTTTTGAAGTTTCAGTAGCAGTGGCGTTTATTTTTACAGGATGAGGTTGCTAGCCTCATGCGTAGCCTTTCCTCTTTACCAACTTAGTGTCCGGCCACAGCCTAGTTTGGTGTAGAACTTCTGATATGATTCAATAATTGTACAAAAGTCTATCCTGTAACTCGAAATCTTTCCTTTCACTCTAGTGATATAAAAAAAATATTCATAGAAATGTAATTTGTCTTAGGTACTCAACCTTCAACAGCTCGACCAACAGTTCAAAACTAGCTCCACTTACCGAGTACTATCATTACCTTTTACACAATTGGTGAAAGAGATTTAGTATCCCAAACAAAAACATATTTGGTTACAGGATTTCATCATGAGCTGACATTAGTTAGAGAACCATTGGAAAATCTGGAAGTACTGGACAGCTATTTCGTCCTAGTTTGGGACTCTTCAGTAGTGCGTACCCACCGGGGTTCGAAACCAGGACCTTCCGGTTACAAGGCGAGCTCGTATACCATTAAGCCACTGGGACCCGATCCAATGGCCCATGAATTCCAACTTCTGCCAATTCACGATATAGCGCAACCGCTAGCCAATGTCTTCGGCGAGCATTTGTCCTCACACCCGACCTGCTGCACCCTACTGGTCACGACTTCCCACTGGAACCCCAGGTAACTACCTACCTGAATAGGACCGGTCGCTAGTGAGCATCTCATTGGTATTCAGGTGTTGGTTTATAGGGATTTAATAGATTGGTTACAGGATTTTAATGTAGTGAAATATTCTAATTCTTTATTCTTTGCTTCTTATGCTAAGGACGAAACAGCTGTCCAGTACTCCCAGGTTTTCCAATGGTTCTCTAACTAATGTCAGCTCATGATGAAATCCTGTAACCAATCAACCAAGTCTCTACAAACCAATACTTGAATAAAAATATATTTATTCTCTTTAGGAAAGTTGAACTAAGAAGTTATGTCGCATTACCATTTTTTGTCTCCCATAAAACTAACCACTTATTACCTCAGGATGACTAGGAATTAAAATTCAAAGATATCACGCTCTATGCTCTGAGGTTCAGTGATTCCGTTAGACTCCATATTTTTACTTGTGAAGCGGTAAGCTTAGACAGTTTATTTCAAAAATGCATTAAGTAGAATCAGAGGTCATCCGATGATAACTTCAGCGAGCTTTCTAATCTTTTATTGGTGTACAAAGTTTATTGATCAATTTTTTTGAATACACTGGTTAAGTTAAGCGACATAATATATTTGTGCGGTGTACTGAAACCTATCAATAGAAAGTCTTGAAGTTGCTAATAAGATGCATCTGACATAGGAAGAAATTTTAGACATTTTGTTCAACTGACTGCTCCAGACCAAATTTACACAAAATATTCAGCTAACAATATGCTATATCACTATTTCTTGAACCTGGAATAATAATAATAATTCACTCACTACTAAAAGTAGTAACTATGACTAGGAAAAAGTGCTGCACTTACACTACTCAACATAACAAACAATCCTTTGCATATACCTGGTACGAGCTTCATATACAAGAGTATGAGCTATATTTACCTTAATGAGACTTAGGACAGTGTTTGGTTATTTTCAGTAAAGCACATGGAACTGGGTTCGAACTCATGACTTCATGGCCAAAATATGCTCAGTCCGATGATTATAAAAAAAGATAGAAGTCGTACTAAATATTTATTAGAAGAAAAAAGTATACAATTGCCTTGAAAAAACTGAGTAACATGATGAAATAATGTTTCTAAATACATATATACATTATTATAATAAGAGGACGAAAGTGGTCAATTCATTGTCGGGGAGATTATACTGCTGAGTGATTGTAACGGAATGATGTGTTCTCGTCTTAAAGCACAGTATGAATATTTGTCTGAGGCATTCGGTTATCTGATACATCAGTATTAGGGGGATCAGAAGAATTTCTGTTGTCCACGAGCTTTTCTGTCTCTTCTTTTTTACTACATTCCATTTTTGTTTCGTTAGGTGCGTTTTCACCTGAATTACAAAAGACTGGATTCCCTTGATCAGTTGAAAAATGTAGTATGTTGCTGTTATTGTGTGATGCTACAAAATCAGAAGACAAATTATCTGAACTGCTACAAGGAACTTGTGGAGACATTGAAGTTTTTGCCAATTTAATAGCAAGAGCTTCTTGTTTATCTTCTTCAGGACTTTCTTTGTTTGTTTCAGAAGAAAAACGAGTTGCTTGAGAAAATTCCATTGACTGACTATTCGATTTTGCAGTAACAGATGTGGTGGAAACTTCTGTAGTAACTACAGGTGAAGATGGTTCTTTGCGAGCCTTAAAGAAGTCATTTAATATTTTATCCATACTGGCTACACGTGGTTGACGAGGTGGGTTTCTGGTACTACCTGCGAGGCGTCGAATTGGTGCTGCAGAACCAAGTGGAACAGCAGGAATTAGTGGTTGATTCGTAGATTCATCAAAATCAAACTCCTTCAACTTTACAATACTAGACAGTGATTCTGAGACCTTTGGAAGAGAACTATCATTCGCTTCTGTATGCACATTAGTTGCTGAGGTAGTAAGAAAATTGAAAAGCAAAGTGAAACAATGATCGAATATCTGAAATATTATATGGTAAAAAAAGGTATATTACTAAATGCTTTTCTGAAAGAGAAGCTGGAACGCTTAACAGTAAAGTAATTCAACTCTAGGAAATACTGAGAAGTACGACCACTAAACAGAATTGATGAGTGTGAGAGAATAGTCATATAATAACCAAAAATTGAATGCAGAATTATAAAGCAGCCACGGGCTACGTTTAAATCACAAAAGAATAACAGTAAATATATTGTTTATCTATGGAGGAGATAAATGTAGGCAACTTATTAAAAATATATGCGTTTTCGTGGTATATTGTACAAATGTCAGAGATATTACCAGCAATCCCAGGCCCCAGTAGATGCACCTGCAACCCATTGATTTGAAATTGAATTAAGGTCAATGAACCACGATGCTAGAGGAATATTTTATGATGAAACAAAAAAGTGATGTGGCTAAACACTCGCCGCCACAAAAATTCAATTGATACGTTTAGAGTTACAGCTACGATAAGATTATGAACAATGCTCTTATTCATAGTCTATCAAAACAAATATATTGATGCTTAAACTCCTGGCTAAACGGTTGAAAAACAGAAAGGGTATAAAAATGACTTTAGCTATCATAAACGAAAGTACAGTAAGGACTGTTGGCAAATATAAACCTTCAAGGTCAATTCTTGAGTGTTTAGCGACAGTGAACAGTAGCTAAAGGTATTGATTAAGTGGAATAACTGCAACGAGAATGTCACACTTCAAAAATATAACTTGATCAGTAAGACTTGGCCGTCAGATACCGATAAAAACGATATTTAGAAACTTAATGATTCATATATATCAGCACTTAGGTAATCCTAACTTACAGCTTTATAAGTAGAGCACGATCCGAATATACAGTGAATTGACTGTGAAACCAATGAAAATAAAAACTTGACTCACTATTTATAATCACTATATCTTATTTATTTGACGGAAAATAAAACTCTTAAAAAACTATCATTTAATTCGAATCGTGATAGTATTCACACGTTTAGCACTTTTATACCGAATAGTTATAGTTAAAATTTCGTTTAGTCCAATAGTAATTCCCTTTCATTAAATTTGTTTTATTACTATCCACACTCAGAACAAGGGACTTTGGAAATAACTGCGATGAAAACAAACATGGAGAAATAAAAAACGGTAATAACGGAAACACTAAGCCTGAGATACCGTTAGTAATTTAAATTGCCAACGTCTTAGTGTTCGCTCACTATTTGCAGCGGTGAATTAGCTTTATAACCCCCAAATAATAAACTGGACAAGATGAATAATCCTACTAACAACTGTATGTTGATGTACTAGGCTATGCGTCAAATAAATTTTTTGCATGGTTAATAAGAGGAATTTAGCAGGAGAAGGTGCACTAACTTCTAAGATATACACGATATTAACAGAGCTAAGACCGATTAATAAGGCACCCGCAACTACCAAAAACCACTACGTACAATAGTATGACCTAAGGTATACAAAATGCAGCATTTGACTATACTTCCATGCAGTAACATGGCCACAGGTAGTAACTGGTTATAACATCAGCATTCACAAAACTTATCTATTATATGACAGACACGGTACAGCAAGCCACCTGCTTACTGCGGTGTTAATGTTAAACTCCCGTCAGAACATAACAGTAAATTGAAAAGCTGTACTTCATATAGATAAATCAGTAAAAAAAAAATTGCAGTGACGAGATAAGTGCCAATAACAGTGGCAAACAAGGCTTGGAAAATAAAGTGCAATTTTTTTCGGAATAAAACTATGGATTCAAAGTAATGCAAGATATAAATGCACTTCATTCAATGCGAATCACTGCCAAACATAGCATCAAATATGTGTGACAGCAAACCTTGACTGTTAGGCAAACAATAGCTGGAATATTCACTAATTCTTG